CAAAAACAAAGACAAAAATCACATGATCATATCAATAGATGAAGAAAAAGCATTTGATAAGGTACAGCACCCATTTATGATAAAAACCCTCAGCAAAGTGGGAATAGAGGGAGCATTCTTCAACATAATAAAGGCCATATATGAGAAACCTACATCCAATATCATACTCAATGGGCAAAAACAAAAATCTTTTCCACTAAGATCAGGAACAAGACAAAGTTGTCACTTTCACCACTCCTATTCAACATAGAATTGGAAGTCCTAGCCAAAGCAATCAGACAAGAAAAGGAAATAAAAGTCATCTATATTGGAAAAAAGGAAACAAAACTGTCATTGTTTGCAGATGACATGATAGTATACATAGAAAATCCTATAGACTCCACAAAAAAATTGCTCAACCTAACAAATGAAATTGGCAAAACAGCGGTATACAAAGTCAATATTCAGAAATCAAAGGTATTTTTGTATATCAACAATGAAATATCAGAAACAGAAAACAGGAAAAAATCCATTTGATATAGCAACAAGAAAAATAAAGTGCCTAGGAATAAACCTAACCAAAGAAGTAAAAGACATGTACTCAGAAAACTATACAACACTGAAGAAAGAAATTAAGGAAGACACAAGCAATTGGAAATGTATACCGTGTTTATGGATTGGAAAATTTAACATCATCGAAATGTCCATACTATCCAAAGCAATTTATAGATTCAGTGAAATCCCTATTAAAGTACCAATGACATATTTCACAAATACAAAACAAACACTTCAAAACTTTAAATGGGAGTATAAATGACCCCAAATAGCTGCAGCAATTTTAAGAAAGAACAAAGTAGGAGGGGTCATAATATCTGATATCAAACTGTATTACAAGGCCACTGTAATCAAAACAGCCTGGTACTGGCATAAAAACAGGCACATGGACCAATGGAACAGAATAGGGAGCCCAGAAATAAACCCAAGTCTCTATGGTCAATTAATATTTGACAAAGGGGCCAGCAACATAAAATGGAGCAAAAATAGCCTCTTCAACAAATGGTGTTGGGAGAGCTGGACAGCTACATGCCAAAAAATGAAACTTGATCACCAACTTACACTATACACAAAAATAAATTCAAGGTGGATGAAAGACTTAAATATAAATCATGACACCATAAAAGTCCTTAAGGAGAATATAGGCAGGGAAATCTTAGATATTCCACACAGCAGTATTTTCACTGATATGTCCCCTAGAGCAAGGGACATAAAGGAAAGAATAAACAAGTGGTATCTCATCAAATAAAAAGCTTCTGCACAGCTAAAGAAAACAGCATTAATATGAAAAGAGAACCAACCATATGGGAAAACAGATTTGCCAATGATAACTCAGACAAGGGTTTGATCTCCAAAATATATAAAGAACTCACACAACTCCACTCTAAGAAGACAAGCAACCCAATTAAAAAATGAGCAAAGGACTTGAACAGACACTTCTCCAAAGAGGACATACAGAGGACCCAGGGACAAATGAAAAGATGCTCAGTATCTCTAGCCATCAGAGAGATGCACATTAAAACCACAATGGGATACCACTTCACACTGGTCAGAATGGCTATCATAACCAAATCAACAAACTGCAAGTGCTGGATAAGTTGTGGACAAAAGGGAACCCTAGTGCACAGTTGGTGGGAATGCTGACTGGTGCAACCTCTATGGAAAGCAGTATGGAATTTCCTCAGAAAACTAAAAATGCAACTGCCTTTGGACCTGGCAATTCCACTGCTGGGACTATATCCTAAGAACCTGAAACACCAATCCAAAAGACCCTATGCACCCCAATGTTTATAGCAGCACAATTTACAATATCCAATTGCTGGAAGCAACCTAAGTGTCTATCAGTAAATTGTGGATCAAAAAACTGGTACATTTACACAATGGAATTCTATGCAGCAGAAAGAAAAAGGGAACTCCTACCCTTTGTGACAGAATGTATGTAACTGGAAAGCACTATGCTAAGCTAAATAAGCCAAGCAATGAAAGACAAATACCATATTATCTCTCCTACAAGTGGAACCTAAACAACAAAAGAAACCAACAAGCAAAATATAACCAAAGACACTGAAATAGAGGACAGACTGACAGTGACCAGAGGGGAGAGGGGAGGGAATTTCAGGGGATAAGGGGGAAGGGTTTACAGGAACAAGTGTAAAGGACACATGGATAAAAACTAGGGGTGGGTGGAAATGGGAGGGAGGTGGGGAGGGCTGGGTGGGTGGGATGGGATGGGAGTAAAAGATAGAAAATTGTACTTGAACAATAATTAAAATAAAATTATTCTTAAAAGGGTGGTACATTTACACAATGGAATTCTACACAGTAGAAAAAAGAAGGAGCTCCTACCCTTTGCAACAGCATGAATGCAACTGGAAAGCATTATGCTAAGTGAAATAAGCCAGGCAGTGAAAGACAAATACCATATGATCTCACCTTTAACTGGAATCTATTCAACAAAACAAACAAGCAAGTGAAATACAACCACAGTCACTGAAATTAAGAACAATCTGACAGTAACCAGAGGGGAGTGGGGAGGGGATAATGGGGGGAAAAGGTGAAGGGTTTACAGGAACAACTATAAAGGACACATGAACAAAAACAAGGGTGGGGTGGAAAGAGGAGGGAGGTGGGGAAGGCTGGGGTGATGGGGAGGGGTGGTGAGAAAAGGCAAAAAATTGTACTTGAACAATAAAATTCAAAAGTATTTAATAAAAAAAGAAATGTAAGCAAAGATATGGTGCTTAGAACTATGATGAGTTTTGATATCCATTAATAATAATAATATGTCTCTTACTGGCCCAGAGAATCATGATTTATGGGCCAGTAAAAGCCATCTTATTATTATTAATGGATATCAAAACTGATAAATAGAACTGATAAATAAGATGAACATTTCAATTATTATGTCTATGAAAAAAAAGTTTTCATACCCATATACAATGGAATATTACTCAGCCATAAAAGAGAATAAAATTTCACCATTTGTGACAGCATGGATGGACTTAGAGGGTATTCTGGTAAGTGAAATAAGTCAGTTAGAGAAAGACAAATAGCATATGATCTCAGTTATATATGGAATATAAGGAACAAAATAAATGTACAAACAAAATTGAAACAGAGTCATAGATAGAGAACAGATTAATGGTTGCCAGAGGGGAAACCCCTCTGGAGGCAGGTGGATGGTTTGGGGGACTGAGTGCAAAAGAGGAAGGGACTAAGAAGTACAAATTGGTATGACAAAATAGTCACAGAGATGTCAAGTACATAGGGAATATAGTCAATAATATTGTGATAATGATGTACAGTGTCAGGTGGGTACTGGAAATATTGGAGGGAACACTTTCTAAAGTATATGATTGTTGAACTACTAAGCTGTGCATTTGAAACTAATACAAAATAATATTGAATGTAAACTCAAATTGAAAAGTAAAATTTTAAAAAATGTTCAAAATAGACCAAGTACTTCATGCATTTATTCCCTGAGCTTAAAACTTGGGCCATTTTTATTTCAAGTTGTTTATGTTTATCCTAATTAGATTAACATTTCAAAGGTATGAAACATACCAATCTTTGTACAAGTTGTGGATAATCAGCATTGTTTAGAAAAGGCTGGAAAAAAATCTTAATTATTGGTCAGAGTCAAACTTGAAGACCAAAGATACTAGTTCTGCCTCTCAGCTATGCTTCTGAAGCTCCTGCAAAATAGAAGACACTGGAGTCAGGGAAATAGGCTTAATGACAGACACCACCCTCCAAGGGGCAGTTTCTCTGTTGTTTGAAGAGATCCAGGAAGGAAAATGTAAGGCCTTAAGTGCTGTGCCTATAGATGAACCAGCAGATGTGCAGTAAAGGGTTACATGAAGAAAACTTAGTCAACAAATAGAAGAAATGTGATCTTGGCAAAGTGAAATAAGTGGTTAAGGCTGAGGAAATTCTGCTGAGGAAATGGTCTGTGAAATTCAAGAAAGTTATAACTGCCTGCCCTCCAAACACACATTACATTCTTTAATAAGTGAGGAATACGTGAGTTAAAATAGCCACATTCACTTGACAGTTTATCTCTTGCTCACTCCCCCTCCCCCAAATATGGTAGTGAATATAGTGAAGTTACTTTTGGGAAGGTGCAGAAGAGGTATATATATATGATTTGAGGACAGTTGGAGCATGGAGCAGATCCCATATTTATATCCCACTATTTTTTTTCAGGTCTACCAACACATCAGAAATTTCTCCTTAGGAAAGCATTTACCACTTCCTAGGAAAATCTTTCTACAACAGCCAAAATGCATACTTCCTAACATATTGGATTTTCCAGAAGATACCTGAAAGTACTGGGGATACAAAGTGCCAAAAAGATAACTGAGATGAAAAGAGGATCACAGACAATTATTTTGACTTCACTTTTTTTAAAAAAGTAGAACTGTTTTGGGAAGAAGAAACAGGGACAGTGGAGAATAGATTTTTCTTTCTGCCAATGCACAACGAAAATCAGATGCTTTGTTGTTGACAAGCTTTAAGACTAAAGCAAAAAAAATTTCCTCTGTCACCTCATCTCCTTTTCTACCCACAGATTATATACTCTAGTAAATATAGGGTTTTAAGTCATTCAAATGAAATTGGTCAAGATCTGATGGTAGAGAATAATCTCAGTAAGGTATGGATGATAATGGATTTATCTATGCAAGGTATATATAAATGGTAGGGTAAGATGGGGGAAATGGCTCATCTTTCCATTGGAGGAAAGCATGCACCTCTCCAGGGAGAGAAAAGGAGAGTAGCACCTCACAGTACTCACCCATGTGTATGAGAACTCTGAGAAAGATCCTCATGTATATCAGTGAGCTTAAGAAGTGATTAAATACAAATTGACTTCTGGAGGCAGAAAAGGTCTACATAACTACAGAGACCATCTTTATTATTAAAATGTATATTTTTAAATTATAGACGTAAATAACTAGATACCAAGTGCAACATTTTTACAGTGTCTTTGGAGTAAAAACAAAAAGATAAAATAAAAATGAAGTTGCACAAGATTTCTGCTTATGCACCCTTTCAGACCAAGGTAACTTGATTTGTTGTTCCTATGGCAGGTGGCTCTTTTCATGGAATTACAGGTTAATAGAATTAGTTGTTTAAATGAGTAAAAGTGAAAACATATAAAACATATGAATAAAATAATAATTATAATAATGGGAATAATAGTAACATAGAAATCTCCCATATTCAAAATCTGTCTTGTTGGAATAATTACATATATATATATACACATATACATATACATACATATACATATACACACACACACACACTTGGAATCATAACTTAAATAACTTTATATAGAAAATGTGAGCTTATTTATCTTGAATTGTATATTACTATAGCTCAGGATGTTTACTTTTTGTACCCTAATTTTGTTGAACCCAGAGAGTGATAAATGGAGGTTCAGAGAAAAGATTCTCCAAGGAAAGAAGCTCAGAGAGGAAGTTGCTGTCTGGATAGCAGCTGCAGCAGTACTTCTCTCCTAGTTTAGATTTTTCCCTGAAAATCAATTCCAGAGTTGGAAAGCGAAAAGTTAAAAAAGAAAGAAAGCAGAGATCTGAGAAACTGATAGCCATGCTTATAGATACATGTCTTAGAATTTGGCATCCCCATTATGGTAAACCAAGTAGGTGATCACTTACTACATATATAATCTGAAAAACAGTGTTGTAAAACCCACTTCTTCAAAGTATCTTCTCTTGTACTCTGTTTCAGTGTTTTTAATTCCCTTCATTAAAAGTTAGGGATTAATACTTTGAGTTAAGGCTTATTCCCAAGACCTAAAATTTGGATATCCCTGGGAAAATTCATACTAAGCTAACATTAGCACATTAGCATCTTAGTATGAATAAATTGACCAGATTACTGATTTGCAGAACAAAGGAATAAGACAGAAGACAAAACATAATGATGGGGAGGAGGGGTAGATAAAATAAACCAGAGCAATGAATACAAATTCAGATGGATAGGTCTGGGGAGAAAGGGTGGTCATAGCTAACCAGCCTAAGAATACTGGATACTTATCTCCTTGAATGATGTAAATGATCTGCCAGGGCTTTTTGGCTGTCTAATAAGTGGGCTTCAACCTCAACCATTTCTCTAAAAAGTTTAATAATCCCCTGATAATATTTCCCCTCCCCTTTAAAAATGATATGTTTAAAGAGAAAATAATATTTTAATAAAATTGGGTTACTGATCTCACAAAATGACCATAAAAAGAAGAATTCATGCTTATGTGGAAAATAGTAAAAACATATAGTATAGGCAAGACTCTCCCATTCCAAGTACCCACAAATTCTTAATTGTGAACCCATTACAACACTAAATTATATCCAAACACAAATCACTTTAAGGCAAACAGACCAGACATAGTTACTCTTTCTAAAATCACAACACTTATTTAACACATCAAAATATGTACCTTACAATATATAATTAGGAGATAGATACACTATTGCTAGCAGCACATTGTCAGTCTTCTAATAGGGTATTATTTTAATAACAAAGTACAAACAATACCAACACTTGTCCAGAGAAAACATTAGAAAATTTCTATTTATCTTAGATATTCCACCGTTTTCCCTCCCCCAAACATATTAGTATCATAACTGTGTGCCTAAAACAACTCCTTTCTTCTAAATATGATGAAACCGTGGGTTAATTTCCATATTCGTTCCAGATTCACAATAACGTGTGTCTTTATTATATAGTACACATTTTTGAGTAGAGCATTTTTTTAAGTTAGAGCTTTTTGCTAAAACATGTTTTACAGTTTTGAAATGTTTAAGACCTCAGGTTTAATTACTATTCACATCCTGGATCTATTTCCTGATACTAGTACCAAACAGGTAGCAGGCAAGGCATTGTAAAGAGTGTCCAATGCTGCCAAAGTTAATCTTATGCACTTTTTTTAAAAGGTGAAAAAATTGCCTTCTCCAGCTGTAGGGAGGTAGGCTATACCGACCTCAGAATGGTACCACCGAGGCAAAGCTGGACCAGACAAATTACTGAAGACTAGGTCCCACGTGCCTAGTTGCTTTCAAACCCAACTCTGGCTTATGGATGTGGCTTGACAGTTGCCACCTAACTTAAAAGAAGAAATACAATATGGTGAGGCTTTTAAGAGCTCTACCCAACTCCTTTTTCCTCTGATCTAAACTTGGTGATTAATTAGTGCACTACTTATTTCATAGGCTCAAAAAATGCAGTAATCTGTCAGAGGTACTTCAACATCACTCTGGAAGCATAGTGGAAACGGCCTTACAAGGCAGGTACATGCATCTCCAGAGGTGTTCTTCAGAAATAATTTAAGGGAACCAAATTGTGATTGTGACCTATCTGCTGTCTCCTGACTTATAGAGGTAATTTCAGTCACATTGTGTGGACTTTGCAAGCTATCTGCCCTGGGTGGATTCCATATGGCAGCTTACACAGTCATAGAAAGTTATTTTAGGTGAATCTGTTTCTTGTCCTTACTCTTAACATAATACAGGCCCAAGTTCAGATTTTCATTCTATGAAAAGGTGTGACAGATGATGTTTCATATTGACACTGAAATGAAGGAAATAGCTATTTGAGTCTTCAAACCCTAGAGTGTAATCACACATGGGAGATAAAAGTGATCCCATGTTTGTAACACTTTATTTTCACAGAATAATGTATTGTCCATCCTGCTTAAAATATAACCAAAATATGATATTGGAATATAAACTGTAGTTACCAGTATAGACAACTACATTACCTCTAAATACTCAGTGTCCACTGTGACAAACTAAGTGCTTGTGATGACACCAAAGTAATTATCTCTTTGTGTCTTAGGTTCACAGATAAAACTGATGACTCTAGTTGAGAGCATATTTATTTGTACAGGCTGTCACTGAAATTTTATAGTTCAAGTCTTAAAGACTTGGTGACAAATTACTGGATGGACACCAATGATGGTAGAGTATAATGCTCTAAATAGGTTCTGATATAAATATGTGAATTCCTCACATAGGTAAGATAGAACATAACCAAAAAGCTGTGAGTGCTTCCGGTGATTACTTTCCAGTAGCTTGGGGCATTACAAATGTATTCTGATATATTTTCATTTCCAGCCACATTCAGTTTTTTATTTAGCACAATTCAGTTGTCATAGTAGAAGTAGTATGGTTGCTCACAAAGGATTTCACATGGAGTTGGATGCTATCATTCAAATCTTGTCTTGAAAGCCGTCTTCTGAACTCACTAGTGGTGAAGTAATATATGACTGGGTCAAGGCAGGAATTCAAACTAGCAAGACACAGGGCAACAGAATGAAATATCAAAATCACCCTTCTGGCTAGGCAGCTTTTAATTTTGTTGGACTTGACCAGAAAATCTAAAGGAAAACTGAAGTGATAAGGTGCAAAGCAAATTAAGAATACTCCCGCACAAGTTAGAATCATCTTCAAGGCTTTCTTTTTCTCTCCAACGTCTTGAGCCACAGGATATTTATCTTGCAGTGATAAAACAGCCTTCCAGGTACAATATAGGACAATCAGAAGAGGAGTGACAAACCCAATCAACTCACCAATGGTAATCATGGCAACAGACTGGGCCACATTGACATTCCTAGTAGGAAGATCTACAAAGCATTTGGTTCTGTTGCCTGAGGTGTCATCACTGGTTCTCAGGTGAGGAAAGAGCATACAGGCAAGGCAGATGAAGATCCAGCCAGCAATGCTGATGCACAGGTCATATTTCCGTTTGCAGTTACGGAAGCGAAAGGGGTACATGAGAAACCAAAATCGTCGCACACTGATGCAGACCAAGAAATAGATGCTTGCATACATGTTGACATACTTCAGGTAGAAACAGAACATGCAGAGGCCAGACCCAAATGGCCAGTCCTGATTTAAATAGTAGAAGATCCTCAGAGGCAGGGAGAGAATTTGTAGTAAGTCAGCAATGGCTAAGTTTATCATGAATATCACAGCTCGTTTGGTTTCTTTCATATAGCCATAAAATACCCACAAGGCTAATATGTTCCCTATGAAACCTGGCACAAGAATGACAGTGTATGTCACTGCATAGATAAAGTATCGTAAATCTGTAATGTGTCCATCTGGCTCAGCACATGTGTCATTAGTAGGCATTTTTCTTCCCACAGAAACTGTCTTTGCCAAATGGCAGTTCAAAACCTATATTCACAATCAATCTCTGCTCTTTCTTAAAAATTAATTATTGATGGGCTGGACAGGCTGAATATAAAATAACCTCCTTCTTATGTGTAGATCTCAGCCTCTAGATATGATTTTCAAAGAACTATTTGCATGTTTGCTTTGATGTGTCTACAGTAACTGCATGGAAGTCTAATGTGCAAGCACAGATAACAAATTGTTACAATTTTCCCCTTTTTTTTACTCCATCATAAGGCCTTCTGGGACATCACAAAAGTTGATTCTCTCTCATTTGAATCATGAATATGTGATACAGCAATTCTCCTAATTTTCATATGATGATAGCCATCACTTTACAGGTGTTTGGCAGGCTGTTTTTCCTTTTATGGCTCACATAGAAGAAAGGCTTGTATAAGTACTCGGTAGGTCTGCAACTCTTCAGAGATGATCAATGTAGATGCACCACCTTTTCTGGGAGTTTTTCAGTTACGTGTCGAAAGCTAAAAAGTGAAGAAAAAAATTATTGTCTGACACTTTAAAAAAAGCCTATGTGTGGAAAAATCTATTAGTTTACATAGGAAATTCTGATGTGAGTAAGGGTAACATTCCACTGTTTCTACAAGGCAAGAAAGTATAGCTAGGAGGATTCTGAGAGGTAATCTAGCCCTTTACTACTCAAAATATCATCCTGAACCAGCATTACCTGAGAGCTTGTTAGAAATACAGAACAAATACAGAAGAATCCCCTGCCCCACCAGATACCTGCTGAATCAGGATCTGCAGTTTAACAATTACTACAGGTTTTTGTTTTACATAATAACATTTGCAATGCTCTGATTTAAACCATTGCTTCACAAACCCCACCAATTGTCAGGCTCATCTGGGGACATTTTTTAAAAAATAAACCTTTCCATAGATTTCTTGGCATCTCCTCTAGAGATTCTGATTCAATATATAGGATCTGAAACTTGTATTTTTAAAAAACTCCCCAATATGATTCAAATACAGCCAACCCAACATTTCTCTTTGAGCCATTATTGAGGGGCCACTGATTTGATCTATATCCTTCCCAGATGTCTGAGAAGAAGTGGGCAACCAGCCTCTCTTTAATGCTTCTATTTACATGGGTCATTTAGTCACCTCTCAATTATCCAAGACAACAAACCATAGCACCAGTGAAAGAATCAAAATCCCCAGAAAGTTGACTCAGCTGGGTCCATGACCTTTGTTCTGAGGCAAACAAATTTTAGAGTAGGGACTTGGAGAGTTGCCTCAAGGCCACTGAAATCCAGAAGGATTTAACTGACTTTAAAGATATGGGGGAAGAACAAAAATGAAATAGAAATTATGAAACATCCTGCTTTGGATTATAAAACCCATGTGGTTTAAAGTGCTTGATTCAAACTCTGAAGGAATTGTAGTTATTATTTTGACTCTTTTGCCCGTTAAGTAAAAGAGCACTTTTTATTCAGAGATGTGGTGCTCACTGTAATTAAAGGTCTGATGAATACCATGAACTATGCATTCAGGTTAAACGCTTGAGATTTCTCAGATAGGGAAGTAAAGGAAGTATAGAGATGGTGTTGTAAAATACAAGGAAGTACAACTGTAAAGAACTTCAATATTGAAAGTGTGGTTAAAATTAGAGGTCCCTCAGCTGCTAAACTGAAATACTTCTTTAAAATGTTTTCAGAGGTACTGATTATGCTTAGGTGATAGGACAAATTAGGTAGCATACAAAAAAGTGAAAAGCCCTGGATTTTGAACTTCCTTTTAACTATTTATACAAAAGGCATCGCCAACTAATGTCACTGATTAGACATTAGAAATTTACAAATATTTGTCTAGTCAACCTCTACTGAACATCCATTCACTTCTCCTATCATGGCCAATGAGTCTTAAATCTATATCATCTCATCTGAGCCATAGCACTCTTTCCAATTATATGTAAGACCTCTTGCATATTTCATCATCATCTCAAATTCACTATAACTATTAAAGCAAAGTTATCTTTCACTTCCTCTGAGCAAAATGTTATTATCTATGAAGATGTTAGAATTTCCCCAATCAAAATGTGTTTCTGTATTTTAATAAAGGAAAGTAAATTATTAAAAATGCTAGATCATCAAATCATCTAATTTTTAATGCTGCTCTTTGAGACATATTAATTGCAAGTAGAGACTATATTTTTGGATACAGAACCCTGCTGAGCAACCATCTGATCACAAGCCATAGGCAACCACTTGCTCAAAATCCAACTTTATTTTGGAGTTCTGGTTTGGTAAACACTTTAGGAAGCCAAGAAAAAGTAGAATTAGTGCTGCAAGTGACTGAAATCATGCAGGGCTGAACAAGGTGTGTACATATTGGATAGGAAAGAGTAGAACAAATTCTTCTTGATTTTAATCAGTACACATAAAAACCTCAAACTTCTTTTTCAGTTTTGAAAATCTTCAAAGTCAATTAGCTTACAATATTTCCAGTAAACCTGTTCAGCAATTGCCTCAAGGTAAAGAGCTGACTACAGCATAGTCATACAACACTAGAGAAAGTCTTTGCCTGTTTAATTCTTCTAGGGAATTCACCAGTTCTGTCCCACTGAATGTTCCATCAGATTTTTTTTTATTTGAAAGGGCAGTGTTCTACCCATATACCACATTCCTTCAGGCTCCCAACTTCTCTTACTTTTGATACCTTCTATGATTCCCCCATAGACCAACTTCATGAAGGGAGAAAATACCTATGTGCCAACAGGCAATGTAGTTATTGTGAACAGTGGCACTGTTCCAGGAAATTCTTTCATTTAGCTGAGTCAACACATTTCCACTGAGACCTGAAGCCCATTTCCTTTCCAGCAGGTAGTGCATCTTGTTTCTCTGCTCTGAACAGCACTCTTTTAATTACTTGGAGATAACAAGATGGTCATCACTCGACCTCATATCCCCAGTGAATAAGGCCCAGTCACACTGCCATTCCTCAGATATCCTAATTCATAATTATTTCATATCCTGGAGGCTAGGGCACACCAATGGGTTTTCAGGACTGGTAACTCCAGAGGCTATTGAAATCTGTACCAATAATTAACAAGTTCTTTAATACCTACCGACTTCCTTGCTCCTACCACTTACTTAAAAATATGTTCATCAGGTTTTTTTCTTTCACAGATCCCATCTCTCAGGATCTTGATGTCATTCACATGATTTAGAGGTTTCTACTTTTATTATTTCCCTTTTTCTTAAGCATGGTTTCTCAAAATGTGTTCCTGGGGCTAACTGTAGTACATATTAAAATGAAAATCCCAGATGTACTGAATCTTAATTACCAAAGAGTGGAGCCAAGGTGTCTATATTATAACAGTCTTTACAGAGAACCAAATCAGAAAGCATTCAAACCCGAGAGTCCTTGAGTTATAAAGGGCAAGACCAATATCATTTCATTTTGTAAAGCTTCATAGCCAAATTAGATCCTTGCAGGTATTTCCTGTCCTTTCTTATCTTCATTGCCTATGTTCTTAATTTTCCTTCTGCTTAAAATGCCGTACCCCATCTTTACCTATTGAAATCCTGCCTATCCTTCAAAGGCACTATTAAAAAAGTTACCTTCTTCATGAAGCTTTCATTATCCCCTGCCTAGCTGTGACCATACCTACCTGTAAACTCCCATAGTCCTTTTTTTGAAATATCTAACCAATACAATTTGATCAAAAATAGAAGTTAAAGAATAAAAGTAAAAATATACGGAAAACAATAAAATTATCAGTTTTATGAATAATATGATTACATAGCTAGGAAATTCAAAAGAATGAAGAGAAACATTAGTAAAATTAACAAGAAAATTCAATAAGTGGCTGTAAACAAAGTGATATAAGTTTCCTGTATACTAGTATTAAATAATTGAAGTATAATTATATACTCATATCAAATATAAGGTACTTGGTAAAAAAAATGAGAAAGAAATATATGAGATCTATATAAAATAAATTACAAACTTCCTGAAAGTCATAAAGAATATTTCAATAAATTTAAAGCCATGCATTATTTTTGGATAAGAATACAAAATATACAGACTTGAAATTCTTTCCAAACTATTTTAACTTGTAATAAAATGTTGATCAAAACTCTAAAGATATCTTATCTTAATTTGAAAAGATAATTATAATCTTCATAAACATACAAGCAGAAATCAAAGAATTTGGGGGATATTTACATAAAGGAGTTAGTTCACATAAAGGAATGTGCAATGAAGAGAACTAATTGGTAGTTACAAAATAGTCATGGTAATGTGGAGTACCATATGGGGAGTATGGTCAATAATATTGTTATAACTATGTATGGTGCCAGGTGGGTACTGGAAATATCAGAGGGACCACATTGTAAAGTACAGTATGTGATTGGCCACTATGCTGTACATCTCAAACTAATACAAAATAGTGTTGAATGTAAACTGAGATTGAAAGATAACATTTAAAACTTTTTTAAAAGGATCTTAATTGGTATTTTTCTATTACTTGACTATTTGTTCAAGATAATTGGTTGATTGATGTATCTTTCTCTCATTGTTTTCCATAGTACTTTATATTAGAAGTATGTTTCCTTCTTATACTACATCCTACAAAATCATGAATTCCTTACCCGCTAAGAATGTTTTATGTTTTACTTACTTTTATAATCTTCTACCCCCAAAATGTGCAGCTGCTTTGTATGCAGTAGGAACTGAAGTAGATTCAACTCAACTAAGTTTTTGGAACATCTAGAGCAGAACTCAATCTAACAGGATGATGTCTTTTTGTAAACAATTTAATATAGCTCCATGTTGTTTACTATTGTTTAACTCATGATTCATAGTGGATATCAAATACTTAATTATATATAGCTAAAATACTAGAAAAAGTCATAAATAAGTTTTGATAGCACACAGTCTAGAATTACATGTAGCCAGATATCTTGATGTCATTGTCTCCTGCTTTTACCACTCTGGGTGCTTTAATTTTAACTTTTAATTGAAAACACAAGTCACCGTGTACAAAGTTCCATTTTACACATTAAATTTCTAGGATTTTCACTTTGTAGAAGTGATGAGAAAATTATGTTATGTTACAGTAGGAAAACTGCATGTAGTATTTCCTGTTCTCAGTGCTGACATGGCTGTGGGAGTTTTCCGCAGTTTTTCTGAATGTTAACCTTGTGTCTCAGACCAGACATGAGCATTTGAAAAATAAAAGGCGTTCTTAGGAAAGTTATAAGCTTCCAAGATTACATCAAATAAACTAAGGTCGAAGATAATCAGGTCCTTATGGCCCTCTTTACTGTTTTGCAGTCCTTTCCTTGCATTTTTTTTCTTTAAGAATGAGCCTTATCTACTGCTTCATAGGATTAATAGGCCACAAAAGTGGAGATATAAACCAACCTTATGCATTCTGGTTAAAACCAGCAAGAGTAAATTGGAAAATTAAACCAGTCTCTGGGTCCTCACATCTGTGTTGGTCTTGATTTTGAGTGTA